TTGTCGTGTAACGGGAAGGTTCTGAATTCGAACCCTGATGGTTTATTACCGATGATATGTCCAAAACTAGGACGAAATAGCTGTTCAGCACTTCTTGCTTTTCAGTGGGTCTCTAAATTGATACCAGTCTGTGGGCAGACTTGAAACCACACTTCCACAACATACATAATGAACGTTATAGTGCAATTCAACTGTGGCAGCTGAAATATGTTGCTTTTTATTAACATGGCGATGAAACTTTCTAGAAGGGAGTGAATAGTGTATTATTTCGAAGTTTACGGTTCTAAATTTATACACTGTAATATCTCAAAGAATGTTCGTAAAAATAATTATTTAAGCCTTTTAATCTACTTATTTAAATCAATCTTGATGCTTAATAAGAATTAAGCAGTATCATCCGACACGCTAAATTTTGTCAACTTAGGATGTGAGAATGACATTATCCTCCTAGGTAATATGAGAAACACGATAATGTATTAGGTGTACAGAGAAATGAAAGGGGGGGGGGCAAATGTTAAGTGATTAACTGTATAGTTTGTAAAAAAGATGCGTGGTATCCACTCAAAATGTATGTTTTACTTTTATATCTACGTAAGGAGTGAGAACAGAACAAAACACTCAAATTTCTACTATTTCTCTCACTTAATTTTGAGTCATTTTCGATAAGATCTTGTAGTTATTGGACGACTCATAGTATTTAATATAAATTTTAAAGTAGTATCTCTAGCACGACAGTTTGATTCATTATTCAGCGAAAACCGAGTTAGATTATGAAATGATATCAGCTAGAGAACCTCTGAAGACCACGGAGTAGTTACTGGACAGTTGTCCCATCCCAGTTTGCAAATCTTAAACAATACAAACTCATGACGCCACCGGAATTGAGCCCTAGGATTTTCAAGCTACGAGACGACTAAAGTGTGTTTTAACGTTTTTGTGTATGTAGTTACTGTTAAATTAATTCATACAGCATTAAAGATGTTCGGCGTTAGTTGGGTAGATACAACAATTAGATGATTAAAAGCAAGATGTAGATTACTTTGATTGGATCAATGCCATGCGTCCAGTCCTTGGCGTTGATGCTGAGTGAATAACATCAGTTAAGTTTGCAATAAAAATAATATGTTGCATTCTGGACAGTATTTATAAAATGTATAGAATTTTCAGAGGAGTTTACTGCATTACATTTTCCCGTCGTACAATATTTTCAGGTAAAATATTAATTGACAGTATCTTATGTGACACAATGATCTCCGAGCGCTGAAGCATAAATCATTCCGTTATGATATATCTGCTTTGTCTCCTCCAAGAAATCCACGATATCTAGTTGATAGGCAATTGTAAGGTGTTCAGAAGCATGTTTTGAGACCCAAGAACATGACTGAAGAACAGTTATCTCATATATTGGTACACGTTGCCACCCACAATCAGACTTTTCTTCAAGTTTAGTAGCAACTTGCGAATCAGAAGCTTGTAAGCATTTTAAATACACGCAAGAGTAGATAATGCCATTAGAGGTCATATCTTAATCAATTAAAACAAACTGAACGAGAGAAAATGTATGCAATAGAGAAATGGGAGTTTTTCGTAGCCCAAGTTTTAAGCAGGCCGCTACAATGTGATCACCATGCTAGATGGCTTGGCATCACAATTCATTCTGAATTATTGTTTTTAGACAGTTGTAAGCAATTGGCCGAAAGCTTTGGATCTAGACTTTGTGCTTGTTGACACTCGTCAGCAAGGCATATCCTCAATCTTGAAGATACTCATATCCCTCCAGAGATTCGAACTCTCGTCACTCTGTGCTTCAGTCAGAGAAGTTACCACCACTTAGCTATTCAGGCTCACGATTGGTCTTCTGTAGGACTGTAACAGATACTTTGATTGGACAGTAGTTGACAACTAGTATTATACGTCTATAGATATAAGTTCCTTCAAGATTGCAGATATATATGCCTTGCTGACGAGTGCCAACAAGCACGAAATCTAGATCCAAAGCTTCCGGTAAATTGTCTTCAACCACCTAATAAGAACAATTCAGAGTGCATTGCGATGGCGAGTCATCTAGCATGGTGGTCACATTGCAAACTTGACTGGTAGAATTCAGTCAGCATCAACACCAATGATTAGACACACGGGCAAAGTTAAACTTTAAGCACCACTAGCTACCATCCAGCAAATGACCTTGAACGCACCAATCACATGAGGGGAGGTATTTTTGATCATGGAATACATATATTTATGATTTTTATGAATTTGACCACGAATTGATATCAGTTAGAGAACCATTGAAAACAAGGGAGTACTGGACAGCCAGCTGTTTCATCCTGGGTTAGAAACCCACTCAGTGAGTGCGTACTGGCGATGATTCCCAAACTAGGATGAAACAGCAGGTTGTCCAGTACTCCAGTGCTGGTTTTCAATGGTTCTCTAACTGATAACACTCCCTGAACAACTCGTAAAACAAATCTAATCCTTACAAACCAACTATTGAAAAATATATTAATGAATAAATTGCATTAAAACTATTACATAGGATACTTTCCTCTCACATGCGATAAAAACATCTCCTAGTTTCGTATAGGAGTATCAATTGAAAAGTTACACCACTTCCTATGCATATATTCATCTGAATGACTATAAGTGTCATCCTTTTGTGATCCATTAATGGCTTTAATCCTGCTTTTTAACCTTCACCAAAACTCTTCGATATAATTGGTGTGGGTCCCTGTTCTCGATTATGGCTGTATTTTTTCTTTAGGGAGACACCTTTTCTCTCAATAAGGAAGTAAGTCTCTCCATTTTGTAAGAAGTGATGTCCCTGCGGTGGTAGGAGCACTGAGCTGTTGATATGAGACTATTTTTAGTTTCAGCAGCTGCACCTCTCATAGGCTGTTTTAAAACCTAGTAATGACAAATATACAAAATATGTGTTGAGGACAAGTGAGACCTGGCTAGATATGTTCCTACAAAATATTAGAATCATCAGCTTACCTTCTCTGAAACACTAAATCGTCTAAAAAAAACTGCACAACGACGGAAATATCCATCAACCGACCTACTAAAGCTTTTTATACCCATGACACCTCAGTATGAACAAATCCTTTCTTTCCTAATGAACCCCACATCCATGCAATACTGGGAAACCTTATCCTCACCAAATCGCAAGCACAATTGTGTCAGAGCAGGCATTCGACTCGAATCAAGCGGAATAGAACTCTTAACTCATTTGGATGGAACTCATTTCATGATTCAAGGTTATTTGCTGATTAATAGTTAGTGGTGCTTAAAGTTGAACTTGGCCGACATATGATACTAGTTACTAAGTAATGTTCAAAGACAAAGGATTACATCATCTATAGTTATTCTTCATAATTTCAAGATTCATTTGAAAACATTCGGGCATTGGGTATATGATATCCATTATTATAAAGGTTTTCTTGTATTTCCGAATGAGTGAAAAAACAAAACGATATTAATGTGTTTTACTGAAGTTTCGCTATTTGATGCTGCCGCTAATAGCTTTATCAATAGTTTTATTATTAAACCACAATTTACAAAATCCACTCAGCTTACATATAACAACTTAATCATCGTTCCTCAGCATGGGGGCATTTTTACCTTGTCAAATTGGCCCATTCGTAGAGATAGTAAAACCAGGTGTAGATGACTGTTGGATTTGATAAGTGTGTAAAATTATAAAAGCAGTGTGTGTTTACATAATGAAATTGCTTATCAATCACATTCGTGTTGATTTTGTCACTTCATGGGGGAGGGATGGGGGTGTTGTAACCAGGTCTAATTCCCTTTTAGTCCATCACTCCTATTCACTTCAGACAATTAGGATTCCACTTGATATGAAGTGCTTCTGATAATAGACGTTCTTTGTGATTTCTGAAATGCTTTTTCTGGATTAATTCAATATTGTCAAAATCAATTTTGTGACCTGATTCTATAGCGTGTAGACCTATGGCCGGTTGATGATTTTTCAAGCTTTTCTAGTTCAACTGGATTTCTTGGTGGTGGTCGAACAGATGCTCTACGGTGTTCATTTCTTCTGATTTTGATTTCTCTCAGGCGATGTTTGTCCGATGTATATCGCATCACATTCCAAGTATTTTATTTTATAGACACAATTGGATAGAGAATCCTTAGGGATTTGGTCTTTTATATGGACAAGGTTGTTTCTCAGTGTGTCTGATGTTTTGAAGAAAACTCTGATGTCGAGCTAATTGAGTACTCTTCTGATATCGTCTGACGTCTTAGCAGTTGTCATTCCATATAGATTTCTATATAAATTTTGGACTTGTTGACATTCGTCAGCGATATATATTGAGTAAAGACTAATTATCTCCATGTTTCACTATCTTATATGAATCGTTTGTACTGTAGAGTGATATGGAATTAGTATTATATTGAATATACAAAAGATCTCACGTAGTAGTAGTTCGCTAAGTGGTCCCACCGTCTCAAACCACATAGAAAAAAACAAATTTACATGAATATTAATTTATTTCAATTATGTTTATGAGTAGAATAAAAAGTTCGCCGTTCTTTTGAAGTATTATTATTATACGAGTTTGACCACGGATTGATATCAGTTAGAGAACCACTGAAAACTAGCACTGGATTACTGGACAACCAGCTGTTTCATCCTAGTTTGGGAACCATCGGCAGCACGCACTCGCTGATTGGGTTTTGAACCCAAGACCCTCCGGTTACAAGTTCAGCAAGCTCGTATACCATTCAGCCACTGGGACGCGATTCAATTTCCAGCCCATGAATTCTAACTGCTACCAATTCGTGATTTAGTGCGACCATCAACCAATGTTATCGGTGGGAACTCCATCCTCACTCCCGACTGGATTGAAAGTGAGTTTACATCACAGCTACATAATATCTTCACTTTTGTTGTGTTTTTTTTAAGCATACGATGATTCTGTAGAAATTTATGTTACATTTATTTTATTGTGTTTTTTCTTATACTGTCTTTTACTTAGTTGTTAGTGCTCCATATAAATTCGTCTGGTTATTATATACCTGCAGTATAAATTCAGTCTTTTCAACTATGACTCTTCATTGGATGTTTAGTGGGAATGCTTCAAGTAAGTCTTTGGTTTTTCTCCTGTTTTCCTATTTTATTATGTTTACAAGTCATTTATGACTAAAGAGAGCTTCTTTTGAAATGTACAATGAATGTTCACTTTTTTATTGAATAAGGAAACTATATACAGACAAATTGATGGTGTATGGCAATAGAATCACCGCTAGGACCTATTCTAGTAGACAGTTTTGCTTCGTGAAACTAGAGAATGGGCTTTTGAAAGATGTAATTGATGAACTAGAATTCTACTTGTGGTACGTGGATGATACATTTTTGGTTATGACAATTGAGGATGAAACCGAAGGATGTGCTGGACAAATTTAACAATGTTCATCCGGCAATAAATTTTGCCATCGAGAAAGAAAGCAACTCTAGTATTTCATTTTTTTAGATGTTCTTATGAATAGGAAGGAGGATGGTACAATAAAAAGAAGTGTATATCAAAAACCTACATCAACTGGTCAGTATACTCATTTTTGCAGCTTCGTGCCTTGAAATATACTAACGCAATGTAATAGAGTGCCTGGTTCACAGAGCAAGAGCAATCTGCTCTGATGAATGTCTTAATGAAGAGCTTAATACTATTAAACAGTTGCTGAGTGAGAACAGTTACTTAGAAAAATTCATTGATAAGAACGTGAATCAAAAGTGAAGGTAGGCCAAAGTACCAACAGTTCCGAAAAAGTCCTTATTAATACAACCTCAGTTCCTCGGGGATAACATCAGTGAGATATTAACACAACGCCTAAGAAATGCGTTAAAAAAACCATTCAGTGCTACTGAATTATTCTGTGTCTTCAAAACCACCCCTGTTTTGCGTTCGGAAGTTACAGATAAACTGCCTGATTTCACCTGTTCCATGTGTATCTACCAATTTGACTGCTCCTGTGGAGCCAGTTACATAGGCCGTACAAGTAGGCGTGTTTATCGTCGGATTTCTGAACATCATCCTGCATAGTGGTTAAGTAAAGGACAAACAAAATCCATTTATAGCTCTCTTCTATCTCATCTTGTGGCTACGGAACACAAGATCGATTGATGTTAACAAGGCTTTCAATGTCATCTACCGCATACCAACTAATTTTAACTTTACCCTAAGAGTTCGTCTACTGAGGCCGTTGGGATCCACATTAAGAAACCTAATTTATGTATTCAAAAGAAGTTAGTTCATATATTGATATTGTCCTTACCTTGGCCATCAAGGTTCTAATGATCCTCATTTTGCTGTGGAAGTTTCCTTAATTTTGTTTGATATTCTATTTGCTATTACATTTTTATGCTTATTATAACTTAAGCGTCTTTCTTGAACTGTAATTTCATTACTTAACAAATCGATAGTATTTAAAAACACCAATATTGTTAATGACGATTATTCTAGAATATTCTGTGTAATATATATATATATATATATATATATATATATATATATAATTGTAGAGCCAAAAGAGGAAATTATCAGGAAGGATATTCTTTGCTCAATTCTTTTTTCTTTTGTCGTCTGGGTGGAACATGGAGCTTCAAGTTTGAGTTTTAAATTTACAGTAGCAGTGGTGCTGTTTTTTACGGGGTAGGGTTGCTAGCCCTACAATCAACCTTCCTTCTTTTCCGAGATTACAACTGGCTAGTGCAGTAGACGAGATTTGGGGCTTAGTCAGTCGGTAACTGAACCCGTACCACCTGCGGGTCTGGTGAGTATTCTATCATTGAACAAGCGAAAAAATTGAATTCTGTTATAGGTTAGTGTCTTTGATTTAATTCACAGTTGTAAACTAACACTTACTTATAATGTTATTGGGGATATTTCTCATCAGTATGTGCAATCGACTTTCAACTAGTGGGCCCTAGGTTCGAATCCTGCCTTACTTCAGTCTGGTTAGTATCATCATTATCCCTTACACAATAAGTATGTTTGGCCGTCAGGTGCATGGAAAATCTGTTTCGGCGTGGGGGGGGGAGTAACCGAACTTCATATAATATCACTTTGATTTAATCATAGAAAGCAGTGAATTGCATTTCAACATCAACCAGTAATTATAAATATATGATTTTACTCTGTATTAAATAAACTTAACTATTTTATAATGGTAGAGCTTTTAATTGAGCATGTTTTATTTTATTTTGAACTTAATTCATATTTCAAAATTGTAAAACTTATATAAGAAATTTACTTCTTATAAAACAATATATTTGTGGCTTATTACGTGGTATATGTGTGTGTGTCCTTGGTAAATGGTTGAGTTACCTTTTTGATACCCGCATTTAATCCTCCCCTAATCTTGCTGCTTATTTTTTCACCGTTTTAGGCATATGGATAGTAGTAGAAATCATAGCGTTTTACTGAATTTAAGAACAACAAAGTTCAGCAAACAGTCGCTTTTCGGCGAATTCATTCACTTAGCTGTACAATCACATTCACATATAATTATTTTGTGTGTGTGTGTGTGCGTACGTTAGGATTGTCAGGGAAAAATAAAAATTAGTTAGGGTTACTGTTTACTTCATCAAAATGTTTCTAAAATGTGATGAGTAATCAAAATTGTAATTAGGGGTGGGGGTGGTTGAAGATTGGAAAGTATTGACAAGGGTTGCGCAATATGAAATAGGATGATAATGGAGACACGAGTCCAAAAAATAAATTATGTAATAGGTAGAAGGGGTAAATAAAGGGTTGGTTAAGAAGGTGTTACTAAGATGTCAAACAAAACTTCAAAAAAGAAAACAAAACATTATTAACAAAGTTGTAGAACTTGGAATTTATCTAAGGTAGAAGGAGAGGGTGGAGAAGTTTCTTCTGTGTGCATTAATCAGGGTTTTCTATCGGATCGTTAAGGCCTCCTCGGCAATGCAAAGTACGCGGAAGCTTACCGTTTTCGGGGGGCTTCATTTGACTTTTTAGATGACTTTGAATGAATTCTCCTTGCATATTGAGTGATCAGTGTTGACTATATGTTCAATTATAGCACTGTTTATTGATCCACTGTTACCTTTTCGTAGCCAAGCGCGATAATGTTCTTTGACTCTTTTAGATAAAATACGCATCGAATGACCTATAATCTCACTCCACATGAGCAAGTAAATTGGTAGATACACATAGAAGTGATCAAATGCGATAGTTTATCTTTGGAGTTGTTGAAGAATAATGGACGGCTTGAGAATACCAGTCGTATTGTGGCAACAGAGAATGTTGTTTTCAGGGCGTTAGATATTCTTCTCTTTAGGATGTCTGCCAGAAGGTTGCATTTGAACACCACATTCATGCATAGCATCTTCTTCGGCACAGAGATGGTTGTTCTCTTTTGATTTTCAGCTTAATGTGTTTATCTATAAAGCGTCAAGAGAAACCTCCCGAAAACGGTAAGCTTCCGCGTACTTTGCATTGCTGAGGAGGCCTTAACGATCCGGATAGAAAACCCTGATTAATGCACACAGAAGAAACTTCTCCACCCTCTCCTTCTACCTTGGATAAAATTCCAAGTTCTACAACTTTGTTAATAATGTTTTGTTTTCTTTTTTGAAGTTTTGTTTGACATCTTAGTAACACCTTCTTAACCAACTCTTTATTTACTCCTTCTACCTATTACATAATTTATTTTTTGGACTCGTGTCTCCATTATCATCTCCTGTTTCATATTACGCAACCCTTGTCAATACTTTCCAATCTTCACGCCCCCCCTACTTACAATTTTGACTATTCATCACATTTTAGAAACATTTTGATGAAGTAAACAGTAACCCTAACTAATTTTTATTTTTCCCTGACAATCCTAACGTACACACACATACAAAATAATTATATGTGAATGCGATTGTACAGCTAAGTGAATGAATTCGCTGAAAAGCGACTGTTTGCTGAACTTTGTTGTTCTTATATTCATGTCCGAATGGGTATTTTCCGTGAATTTTACTGAATTCTTTCTTAGTCCTGGTAGATATTTACTGATTTTTGTTTATTTCATCTGGTTCATAATAATTACTTAACTGAGTGATATATTGAGTGATGTAACATTCCTCTTTTACATAATGTAAAACTAATTTGAATATAGCAGAAATAATAAATATCGCCAGCTGGAGGTGATATAAACTCATTCTTTATTAGTTCATGGGTTCTTTCCAACTTCCTACAATCTGATTTAGACTCAATATTCACCCTTTATTGATGTTTCCATTGTCACATATTTCATTCTTTTTGTAATTATTGTTAGACTGTAACAACAAGAAGGCAAGACACGGAAGCCAAGGTATAGTTTTCACTAATCAAACCGCCGTTTAAATATATATATATAGTTTATATTCGTTAACCAATCACCGAGTGTGTGTTGGTTTAAATTAAACCACATGAAACAGAATGTTCAATTAAGATATATCGTATGCTGTTTTTTTTATTCCTTCATGTTCCCATTGGAACATAGGGCTTCAAGCTAGAGTCTTGAAGTTTCTGTAGCAGTGTTTATTTTTACAGGATGGGGTTGCTAGCCTGATGCCCAACCTTTCCTCTTCACCAGCTTTAGTTAAGACTTAGCGAGGTAAAGGAGTGCGCCGGCCGGGAATCGAACCCCGGACCATGTGCATGGTCGCCGAGCGTCCTAACCGCTATGTCACCGACGCACTCGTATCCTGTTGCTAATGCCGAATCGAACTGTGAGAATCATATTCCGTTGGAACATATTGTCTGTATCACACCACCACAAGAGACGATTGATTTTCTCTTATAACTACTTTTTTATTCAATCGCTTAATTCAAGATGCACACAAAACATACAATTAGCTGTTGTCAAGTCTTCCACCTGTAAATGCAGTATATCCTTGTTCAGTTCAAGAGTAAAACAGTAAATATCTGGGGTAAGAAAAAAAGCATTCATTTGATCCTCCTTTCATAACACCATACTTTAGAATAACTACTCCAAGAACATTAAAGTGTCTGTCTGGTGAAAATTCTGTCAAGTTGAGGAGCAGTGAATCATAGGTTGGAAACTTTCCCTTTATATAAAATATGTGACTAAT